CAACATACTATAAACACCAAACCTGCACAACCCGTCAATGGGAGGCCGGCAAACACAAGAAAACTAACACCCAAAACCCCAAGCCGCGGACGGGTTGTGTCGGCTTCCCAGCCCCCCCGAAGTCCTAGGAAACTGTTAGGGACTTTGACAGCACACCGACAGTTGTTCTGCCGAGAAACAGTTTTCGGACCTACGGATCTTTGGATGGAAGCCCTGAAAAACCTTACAAACCCTACAAAAATCCCCAGAACTTAAACCCGAAATCCTCAACCCTAAGCCCTATAAATCCCAAGCTTAGAGAACGGAATCCCCAGAACCTAAACCCGAAATCCTCAACCCTAAACCCTATAAATCCCAAGCTTAGAGAACGGAATCCCCAGAACTTAAACCCGAAATCCTCAACCCTAAGCCCTATCAACCCCCAAGCTTTTTTCAGAACTGACCCTCCGGGCCCCGCGCTTCCTGCAACTCGTCGAGCTCCGGCGTGGCCGTCAGCATGTTTACAGCCTGCCACGTCGCCCGAGGGTTTACGACGTTTGCGCGGTTCCATTAAGGGTTATGGCTTTGGGCCCTAAACCCTAAACCCTAAACCCTGCACTCTAGACCCTGAACCCTAAACCCTAAACCCTAAACTCTAAACCCTAAACCCTGAACCTAAACGGTTCAGGGTTAAGGGTTGAGGGTTTGGGGTTTTGTGGGTTTGGGCGCTGGCGGCTCGACTTCGGATCTTCCAGTTGAGGTCACACCAACCCCCCTAAACCCTAAAGCCGTAAGCCCTGAGCAATAAACCTAAACCGTAAGCCCTGCCAGTAGTAGGTACCCGATCGAGCCCCTTGAAACGAAAGATGGAGGGATATCAGGGCAACTAGTTACCCAAAGAAGTACTGGCAGCTCTGAGAAGCCCCTTAAATCCTAAACCCAACAGCCTAGAAATCATAAACCCTGGTTCCTACGACCTCCCTCTCTCTTTCTTTCTCTCTTTCTTTCTCCCTCTCTCTCTCTCTTTCTTTCTCTCTTTCTTTTTTTATCTCTCTCTCTCTCTCTCTCTTTCTCTCTCTCTCTCTCTCTCCGACACAGTCGGGCACTCCTGAGCCCCTCTGAAGTCCCCCTAGAAATTTTCTGACACCTTGATGCAACCCCCTGACACGAGACCCCTTAAAACGGACGAAGCTTTTGGAAGCGGGCTGTTGACTTGAGTTTGGGCCTAAACCCTGAAAGGAAGGGGTTTGGGTGGTTTTGCCGCCTGAGACTGCGTGGGGTGGGATAAAGATGTTAGATGGCCCTCCACTATCGGGCCATGGCTGCTCGTCGCATTTCACGAAGCTTTCGAAGCGAGTCTGCATCCCAACCTTCACAGCTTCTGCTTCAGGAAACGCAAGTGGGGGCCTAAGAAATGGGGGCATAAGCCTCCTGAAATCACACAAAGCTAGGAGGAGGGTTGTAACTTGACAGCGCGGCAACAGCAAGCCGCGAGGGAACAAACCCTGACGGCCGGGGCGTTTGCCAAAAATGCCGAGAATTGGGCAGTTTTTTGGGCGCTTTTGGACTGTTTTTTGGGCGGTTTTGGAAAATGTCCCGCCCACTACCGCGTCCACATTGCACGAAGGTTGCGTCGACTCCATAGCCCGATTCAAGCGCCGAACTCCGAGCGCAAAGGACTCCTAACCCAAAATAGCATGTTCAAAGCCGTCCCATGTGGGCCCAAATGGGCCCGAATGGTTCCAATTGCTTACGTCCCCATTTCTTACGACCCCATGAGAGTGCGCCTCACAGCAAACCCTAAACCCTAAACCCTAAACCCTAAACCCTAAACCCCAACTCGGGGCCTGCTGCTGAAAGTCGGTGGAACAACCTCCGGGAGTCGACGGTGGCTTGGCGTGGCTTGGCTTCTTGGGGGAGGAAGAGAGCCCCTCAAAAGGAGCCAGGGTTTAGGGTTTAGGGTTTAGGCTTTAGGGTTTAGGGTTTAGGGTTTAGGGTTTAGGGTTTAGGGTTTAGGGTCCAGGGTCTAGGGTCTAGGGTCTAGGGTCTAGGGTTAAACAACACTAAGCCCTTGCTTGGGGGGATGATGTCATATGGGGAGGGAAAAGCTCGACATGCGGGAGCAGGAGATATAGGGGGGAGGGGGCACGAAGCGGTATTGGGTAGAGTCTTTATAGGAGATCATCTGAGACAAGCCCTAAACCCTAAACCCTAAACCCTAAACCCTAAACCTTAAACCGATACGCGCGTTCAAAACGATTTCATGCCGATGTCGCAGGGGGTGGAAAGCTTCGGTGCAGGCCTTGTGTTGTGTCGGCATCCAGCTCCTCCGACAACAGGCTTTGGGGTTTAAGGTTTGTAGGTTTAACATGTGGGAGTTTACGAAAATAGGGGCCCCAACCCTAAACCCTAAACCCTAAACCCCCAAAATCGTAGGATCCCCTTATAGGTAAGGGGAACCCAATACGGTACCCCCCATCTCAAAAACCCCCCATGTCTTCTCTAGAAAACTATGACACTTGGGTATCCAGGATGCCTGCGCATCTTCTGAATTCCGCAGCCTATTGCGTGCCTAAGTAGCCCCCCCAAACCACTCCGCCTCTTTACTTGGTTGCGCTGAGTTCATCAGCCCCCCAAAAAGTGTATTCTTTCAGTTTTAAAACGGGTTATGGTATCCCAAAAAGTGTAAGTGTACTCACTCAGCTACGAAGTTTATGTTTCCATGACTGGAAGAACCAAAAGATTGCAACGCCTCTCCGACGCATCATATCACTTGCTGCGGGTCCTTGACCATTGCAAGTGATACAAGTGACCAAAATCCTGCGCAACAGGCTTTGGGTCTTTTGGAGTTTATGGGGTCTACAGGGTGCTTTCTAGGTTTTTTTGGCGCTTGTCATTGTAGAGTTGTAGAGTTTCTAGGGCTTCGGGTTGGGGGTGTAGAAGGTTTCACAGACTGAGGAGGTGCAATGTAAGCCAGTATCCATTTTCTTCTGGGCCCTAAACCCTGAACTGTGAACCCTAAACCCTAGATCCTAAAGCCTAAAGGCCGTGCAATTCTGCGTTCAAGGTCCGGGCTTCAGGGAGCAGTCTTCGACCACCTCTTAAATGGCAGGCATGGGCGGCGTCGAAAATTCCTGACCCTTCAAACCCATTGAGGTTGAGGGTTGAGGGTGCTGGCTCAGGAGCTTCCTGTATCAGTGGGGTGCAGGGGTATCTACAGTGCCGGCTGTAGCGGCGCTGGGGGTGTAGGAAAAGGGAGCACAGGGAATGGGATGTTCACCTCATCATCGTCGTCATCATCGTCATCCTCATCATCACCCTCACGCCCCGCCCCCACCCGCGATCTCACCCACATCATCGCCGCCGTGGTCGGTCCCACCGCCCGGCGAACACCTAAACCGTAAACCCTAAACCCTAAAAAATTGAAGCACGAAACTTGAAAACCTTTGAAGCCCTGCTGCATACCCAAGGCCCTTCCTAAACCCTAAACCTAAACCCTCGCGACCCTAAACCCTAAACCCAAAACCCTGAACCATAAACCCTGACCCCAAAGCCTAACCCCCACAGCCTAAACCCCAAACCCCAAACCCTAAACCCTGTACCCCAAACCCCAAACCCCAAACCCTAAACCCTGTACCCCAAACCCCAAACCCTAAACCCTAAACTGTGGACCCCTGACAAGTCGGCGCACCTGCAGAGTCAGGTGAAGTGGCCAAAGCGCCGCTCTACAAAGTCTGGACTGTCTCTGAGCCGACGAAGGTAGGGGTTTAGGGTTTAGGAATGTTTAGGGTTTAGGGTTTAGGGTTTCGGGTTTAGGGTTTAGGGTTGAGGGTTGAGGGTTTAGGGTTTAGGGCTTGGGCTTGGGGTTTGGGGTTTAGGTTCAGGGTCTACACTGAACTTGGGGAACCCTGGCAAAATTGTGCAATAATTCTAGCTGTTTCTTAGGAATATGTACCCAAAGATTGAAAAATGTTCCGAGGCCTAAGGGGTGGGGCGGGTCGAGGGTTTGGGGTTCGGGGTTTAGGGTTTGGGGTTCGGGGTTTCGGGTTTAGGGTTGGCTTTGAAGGTACCTTGTTATGTGTATGCAAGGCAACGTTTTTGCAATAGGTAAGAAAGGGACCATGATTTGGGTAGTTCTCTAAAGTGCTTTCCCTGTTTGGGTCCCCTACAGAACGCGGCACCCTCACAAGAAGGACCAACAAAAGGACCCTCAACAGTGGACACATTCGCAGCATTCCCTGCAGCAGCAGTGGCTGCAGCAACAGTCGCAAGTGCAGCAGAGGCAGGAGTAGAAGTAGAAGTAGTGGACGTAGAAAGAGAAGTAGAAGTGGGAAGATGATGAACTAGGCTGCCCAGTAACCTAGGCTTACAAAAGGGTGCCCTTTTTTGCTTAAAGGGGTTTTTAAGGGAACCTAAACCCCCTCAAAAAAGTGAATAAGGGTACTACTGGGCATCCTGGTGGAAGGGCATCCTGGGCCAGGATCTTGTGCTCAAGATTTTCAGGGCTGCCCAATTTTACGCCCTAAAATCCTATCAACCCTACAAGACCCTCAACCCTATACCCTAAGCCCTAAGCCCCAAGCCCTAAACCCGAAACCCGACACCCTAGACCCTAAATACCCTAAACCCTACGCCGGCTTCAAGCTCATGTGTGGGTCCAGCTCACGGCTGAAGTGTGCGCGAACACGCGCGCAACGTCCATGCCACGCTTCGCGTGACGGATTGAAAGTCTGTCGAACTCTAATTTGTGTACCTCCTAAATACAGGGGCCTTAAGACGGGTTTAGGGTTTAGGGTTCAGGGTTCAGGGTTCAGGGTTTAGGGTTTAGGGTTTAGGGTTTAGGGTTTAGGGTTTAGGGTTTAGGGTTTAGGGTTTAGGGTTTAGGGCTTAGGGCTACTATAGGGGCCTTAATGATTAGAATAGGGTCGTGGGGGGTTATTCGACGAGGATAAAATACAAGGGCACCCTAAAGGGAATACTGACAGTAATTATTCCGACCCTAAGATTGTCTACACGAAGCC